AGTGTAAATAACTCACAATTTATATGATTTTATTATGTGAAACCCTTTAAATCAACATATTCTATTTGCCAAATAAGCTGCGTTGCCTTTCAATAGCTATGAATCTGAAAGCCAGTATGAACGTTTGGATAGTACACATGAAAATGCCCTGGGCGGGCAAAGGGTTATATAGGTAAACATTTACACCCCCCCATACGGAGTTTAATTCTATTAATAGAAAAATAAAAAAAAATTCCAAAGCACCCTTGACAGACTGCAGACATCAGGTAATGACGCCTCTAACCTACTCCTGTAAACACCAAAAGGAGAATACAGAAATGCTATTTGGTCGAGGTACTGTCAAGAGAATCCCAGTGATGAGGTGACCTCATTAAAAGCATTTGATTTTCACCCTAATTACTATCCTTGAGTGATCTATATAAATGCTGGCACACATACACAGTATACAATGGATAACGTTTTATACCTGTGTACCCTTGTTAGGAAATAAACTCACAGAGTGTAGTGTAAATAATTTATGAAATTAAACGTGATGCACAGAAACCCTATAAATGAAATTAAATTTTATTATGTGAAACCCTATAAATGAAATTAAATTTTTTATTATTTAAATGAAATTAAATTTTATTTGTGAAACCCTATAAATGAAATTAAATTTTATTATGTGAAACCCTATAAATGAAATTAAATTTTTATTATGTGAAACCCTATAAATGAAATTAAATTTTTTATGAAACCCTTTTGAAATTAAATTTTATTATGTGAAACCCTATAAATGAAATTAAATTTTATTATGTGAAATATAAATGAAATTAAATTTTATTATGTGAAACCCTATAAATGAAATTAAATTTTATTATGTGAAACCCTATAAAGAAATTAAATTTTATTATGAAACCCTATAAATGAAACCCTATAAATAAATGAAATTAAATTAAATTTTATTATGTGAAACCCTATAAATGAAACCCTATAAAATGAAATTAAATTTTATTTGAAATTATAAATGAAATTAAATTTTATTATGTGAAACCCTATAAATGAAATTAAATTTTATTATGTGAAACCCTATAAATGAAATTAAATTTTATTATGTGAAACCCTATAAATGAAATTAAATTTTATTATGTGAAACCCTATAAATGAAATTAAATTTTATTATGTGAAACCCTATAAATGAAATTAAATTTTATTATGTGAAACCCTATAAATGAAATTAAATTTTATTATGTGAAACCCTATAAATGAAATTAAATTTTATTATGTGAAACCCTATAAATGAAATTAAATTCTATTTGCCAAATAAGCTGAGTTGCCTTGCAATAGTTATAAATGTGAAAACAAGCATGAACCATTTGAATAGTACACATGAAAATGTCCTGGACAGGCAAAGGGTTATATAGTTATGAGTTACAATGCCACCTGAAACCTCCTGATGAATTAATATGGCATTCCTGTCAAATTCAAATCCTTGTTCATGATTTTATCTCAATTAAAAGAAATGTCCCTGCTACAAGTTGCCAGAAAATAATCATAGTTTAGCATGTGAAGAACATCTATAAATACAGTCACACCATCAATATCGGTTTATCGGATTATCAGTTTTGCTAGACCAGGTGATAACAAAAATTCAAAAACAGACCTAAAACGCATCAATATCTATCACTAGCAGTAGAGCCCGGCGTTGCCCGGGGATGTAACAGTAAGAGATAGATCAAGTATTGATCATCATAAAGACTGAAAAATAAAATTGACAAAGATTATTGTTTAAGGCTGACGGAAACCCATGTCTTAATTAGTTTTTTTTTTCTTTTTTTTTTTTTTTTTACGAATTGGTCAAACAAAAAACAAACAAAAACATTGTTTTCAATCGTTATGAGTCTACCGATTGAATAGAATTTTATTATAAACAATTGTCTTGTAAATGGAATTTTTAAAGCATTCTGAATGTAAAAATAAAAAAAAAAAGTGTGCAAGACAATAAGAAACACTACCAAAAAAAAAAAGTGAAGTTTTGTTGAAATCGGTTGAAAAATGTAGGAAATCCGATCCCATATATAAACGAACACACACATACATACACAAACAATCTGGGTTTTATAATAAGTATAACTCGATATGAGTTGTCCCCCTTTCATTCTCTCGACAGTGATGCCTTTTAATCGTGTTTTCAAAATGATTTTGTGCAAAAACAATTGTGTTTTTCCTATTTTTGGCGCTGTCAGAACCACCGCAAGGTAATTTTACGTAGTCCTGTGAAGTTTTGTTGAAATCTGTTGAAAAATGTAGGAAATTCGATCCAATATATAAACGAACACACACACACACACACACACACACAACCTGGGTTTTATAATAAGTATGATTACTGTATTTCTTATCATTACAACATCAATGATTGTCAGAAACTTATATAAAGTACCTTTGTCTGTATAGTGAATTAGTCTGACAATTGTTTGAAATTTAAATGATTTCCTCCAGATTAAAAGAATTTGGTGATACATATTCACCATATTCAACTCAATTTTTAGGGTAGTAGCAATAAAAAAAAGATTTTTACACTTTATTTATTTTTAAATTAACACTTTTTAAAATTAAAAAAATATTTTGATTTAAAAAATCTATAATTATCAAAAAAATTATTTTGTTTTAAAAAATTCTATTTTGATTTAAAAATATTTTTATTTAAATATTACTATATCTCACTTTTTAATCTTTTTTATTTTAAGAACACTTTTTAAATTATTCGTTTTTCAAGTTATTTTTAAACATAAACTTATTTTGTACAATTTTTTAGTAGCAGTAAAAAAGATTTTTACACTTTGTTTATTTTCAAATTGAAAACACTTTTTAAAATTAATAAAAATATTTTGATTTAAAAAATCAGTAATTATCAAAAATTTATTTTGATTTAAAAAATTATTATTATTAAAATTATTATTTTTATTTTAAAAACACTTTTCAAATTATTCGTTTTTCAAATTATTTTTAAAAATAAACTTATTTTTTTACAATTTTCTAGTAACAATAAAAAAAATGATAATTATTCATTTCAAAATCCTGTGTTTATTTTTTTTGTGTTGTAGTAAAAATGTGATTTAAAACATTTTATGTTGGCCAGATGGGTGATAGGATTTCTGTATTGTTTTTCACTAATTTCTCAAAACATAAGTACATCTGTCTACACCAGTGGTTCTCAACCGGGGTCTACATGGACCCTAGGGGTCCATGTAATATTTCCGGGGGTCCACAGGCAAAACACAATTGTTGTGTTAATTAAAAATAGTAATAATAATTATTATTATAATTATAGTAGAATATTTTATTTGTATTAAATTAGTTTTCATTTAAAAATAAAGCTTAATCGTATACTATTTCTTTGATAATTAAAACCTTAAAATTTATATTAGTGAAGAATAGAAAATTGTTCTTATGTCCAATAGCTATGAAGGGGTCCACCAAGATAAAAAGAAGGGGAAAGGGGTCCATGGGTAAAAAAAGGTTGAGAACCACTGGTCTACACTTTTTACAACATAATTATAGTAGACTTGCTTCTACGGCACTTTTGCACAAGATTGCAATTTTAGAGCCCTCAGTGAGGACAAAGGACATCATGAAAAGCATATGTCATTAAATTTGATTTGCATCCCTATCGCCATTAAAATATTGTATTAAGATTCAGATTTCTATGAAAATGCATTTTTTTCGTTGAATTTGCCTTGCTTTGTTTGAATATGTTTCTAGTTTTTTTAAAATATTTTTCTCATTTTTGATACGAATTTACAGGGTGGTCCGAAAGTCTTGTCACCCTATAAACCCCCCCCCCTGCCCCCACCCCGTATTACTCTGAGAATAGAACAAGTAATACAGTAACACAAAGCACATGTACTGGATTCACTTTTATTCACTTTCATTGACGATGTCACACATCGAGAAGATCTGTATGAACACAATCATTTTTGTGTAGGAGCTTGTGTCAGCCATCTGAAATAGAAAATTAAATTATATTATCTAGGGTCACAAGACTTTCGGACCACCCTGTAGATATTTATTTAGTCATGAATGAAATGGTTCTAAAGTAGGGGTTCAGTTTAGAATATAAATTTAATACTAAACTAGACCCTGACTTTTGATCCGATTTTTATGACCATTCTATTTTTAACCTGTTAGGTGAATGTTAAACTGGGCCCTGATTTTATGTACGTTCAAGCAAGTATAACTTTGAAAACAAAATCCAGTTCGAAAGTCAGAAAAGAAAAACATTCAGTTGGAATTTAAATCGATATTTATTTTGATTTTAAGAAATCATTTGTTCGTTTTTGGTTTTTTTTTTAATAATAACAGTGGCACGGATTTAGGAAAAACCTTTCACAGCCATATTTGTGTAAGAACGGTTTTTTTTTTTGTTTTAGTTTTTTTTTTTTTACCGTGTTCCGGTTATTACACAATCAATTTTTAGGCTCAAGTTGATTTTTTACGTTTCTGTTCATATAAATTAATTTAAACATTTAGTGTATAAATAATTTAATTTTCCTCATAAATGAAAAGTTTTCCGAAATAAATCAAAGTCAGGTTTATATGGTAAAGCAAATACACGTGAAAAATGGATTTTAGCACCAAAATAAAATGCCTCTTACTTTTCGGTTAACCGAATTTCTAACTAAAAACCAAATATGGTTTTTTCGTCTTTCTAAGGCGGGACTTCCATGCTGACCGTTGCTGATTTTGAGCGCACTCTGAATTCATCTTTCCATTTTCCTTCTTTCCTTCTCTCATAGATTATTATATTAATTATATGTTACAATATATATTATATTATATATATTATTATATTATATATTATTATATTAAATTATATAATATATATTATTATTTATATAATAAATTATATTTTTCACACACATTCTTTTTTTCTGTCACATTTTCTCCCACGTGCCAGTTTTGTATTTTTTTTTCTGTTTCGATCTCTTCATTGTTTTTTTCACTCTCTTCTTTGATTTATGGTAATCGATAGAAGAGAAGAATGTTATTACACAACAGTTGAAGAATTCTTACAATTAGGACAAATCAATAAGTAAACAAGAACGCCTCTTACTTTATTGTTTTTTTTTTATTTACTCGATAAGTCTCTTTGAGTCATCTGTCTATTTCAGTTTTATATTTATTTCATTTTTTTTTCATATCTATCAATCTCATTATCTTCATTATCTATCTATCTATCTATCTATCTACTCCTCTTCCTTATATTTCATTTTTTTCATATCTATCAATCTCCTTTTCATTCTATCTATCTATCTATCTATCTATCTATCTATCTATCTATCTATCTATCTATCTATCTATCTATCTATCTATCTCCTTCTCTTCCTTATATTTCATTTTTTTCATATATATCAATCTCCTTTTCATTATCTATCTATCTATCTATCTATCTATCTATCTATCTATCTATCTATCTATCTATCTCCTCCTCTTCCTTATATCTATCTATCTCTCCTTTTCCTTATATTTCATTTTTTCTATCTATCTATCTATCAATCTATCTCCTTCTCTTTTCATTTCATTTTTCATATATATCTTTTCATTATCTATCTATCTATCTATCTATCTATCTATCTATCTATCTATCTATCTCTATCTCCTCCTCTTCCTTATATTTCATTTTTTTCATATCTATATCTCCTTTCATCATCTATCTTTTCTATTATCTATCTATCTATCTATCATCCTTCTCTCCTTATATTTCATTTTTTTCATATAAACTTTTATTTATTTATCCTATTCATTTTGTTTATTTATCCTATTCTGTTCTCTATCTATCTATCTATCTATCTATCGATCTATCTATCTATCTCAATCTTTTCTGTTTAGCTTATATCTTTTCAATTTTAATCTGTTCATATATATCTAGCTAGTTAGCTAGCTGTCTGTCTGTCTGTTTGTCTGTCTCAGTCTGTTAATAATATCTTTTTAACTTTATTTTTTCTTCTTTTCAGTTGTCCATGTATCAAATTTTCTTTGTCCTAAATACTAAATCTTTTCATTTCATTCTTATTTTCTTTCATTTTAAACCTTCTGTTCTTCCCTGAATTATTTCTACAAACTGAGTCTTGTCTAATATCGACATCTCTTGCAACATTATTTATTTTACATTGTAAATAAATTAATCTAGTCTCACAACAGATATAGTGTTCAAACCTTACTAAGGGTGATTGTTTTTAGTTTTATTTTTTATCATAATGTTGGCTTATTGCAGCTTTTTCGAAGATGAACTCAGATGAACAATTATTTAATTTAGTTTTTTTTAGTAAACCACAATTATATTTCCTTAAGAAAATAATTGAGTTTCTGGTTAAAGGGGCGTAGGTATGTGAGAAATACATGTTGCAACATGAACATCTCTAAGTGGTTCGTGGTCACAACAAAAAGAAATTTTAAATGGTAATAAATTTTATTTGTGAAAGCAACGATGAAAGGATTCTTTTTGCAGCTAACCATCCAGAAAGTACAATAATATTCACCCTCAGTCCTCACTGTCAAACAGAGAATTCGAGAGAAAAACAACCAATAGCTTTTTCAGTTTTTATTGAACCCATAAACTAAGATTATCCATGTATTTCTATCGTAAAAATTGTTTCTATAGTAAATAATTATTTTTATAGTAAATAATTTCTATAGTAAATAATTTCTATTCATTCATCAATGATAATTTTTAGTATTTATTTATGGTTATATTTGATGTAATTTATCATATATAATATTTATTTATGTTTCTTTTATTGAACCCATTTATTAAAAACTATGATTATCCATCTATCTATAGTAAATAATTTCTGTAGTAAAATTATTTTCTATAGTAAATAATTTCTGTTCACTCATCAATGATAATTTTTAATATTTTATACCTTTTTGATGAACTTTCCTGTATGGTACCTACCTAGACTTTATGAACTAAGTGCAGTACTAGATTGGCAGCTAGGTCTCATCATTTTATAGTTGAAATGGCTAAATGTAACCATAACTTCTACGCTAACAGTTTCTTCTCTTCCACTTCTTGCTCGTGGCACTCTCTTTTGGTTTCTTGCATCTCAGTCAACTTTGATCTTCAAAAATATAAATGCGATGTCAGTCATTATATTCTGTCTTCTTAATTTCAGTTCTTTTGTTGCAATCTCTCATAAATAGTAGTTTTTCTCATATTCTCTAACACTCAGTAACCCCTTGCATCCTAGTTGCTTTATTGCCTTTGATCTTCAAAAATTTAAATGCAATGTCAATCGTTATCTTCTGTCTTCTTAATTCCAGTTCTTTTATTGTCCTCTCTCATTAATAGTAGTTTTTCTCATATTCTCTAACACTCAGTAACCTTTTGCATCCTAGTGGCTTTATTGCCATGCTTGAGGTGAAAAAATAAAAAAAAAACATTTCATGTGATTTTTACCTGAAGTTAAAAATAAAAACCAGGTAATGATGATGATGGGTAAAACCTGAAAACATCAATCAGTCTCTTTTTCTGGGGTTGCTTAATAATGGTACTAATTTATTTTCATATTTGTTTTTTTTTTGTATTTACAAAGTCAAGGTTAAAAGATTGTGGTGTCAAAAGGTTGAGTTTCAGGCGTTTCATTACGTGAAATATTGGCGCAACACAATCTTCTTAGTTTCTATCTACTTGTCTCCGTGTCACATTAAGCTAAGCTTAGTATCTTAAGTAAAATCTTTGAATTTATGAACATTTTTTTGTAATAAAATGGAAAAATAAATCTTTTATTAAGGTATGTTCTAAAGTTCTCAGCAAAAGTTCATATTGCACTCCAAATCATCAAAAAGAAAAAAAAAACAATTTTTAAATTTTATATATGGTCGTGGTCCAGTTTGCTATGTAAATTCATTGTAAAACTGATCTCTCTCCTGTGCAAATCCAAAACAACACATGCTTAAATGATGCGTTTTCTTAAAATGCTGTAAAAATTATTTTCAAATTCAAATTTGTAATCTGGAATGCTAATCGATGGTAAATATGAAAATGATAAAAAGATCTTTACAAAATTTTAAAAAAAAGGTACTCGTGGCTTATCTCTCACAACTTTAAAAAAAAATAATTTTCCAACTTTTTTACAAATACAGATGTGTAAAAATCTATTATTTGTTTCTTAAATTATATTTTTATTTTTCCAAATATATTCTGATCATGTCGGGGGGATATTTTACATAAACATCTCAGTGAAGTAAATATTTGCACTTTTACAGATAAGAGTGAATAAAAAAAAAAAAACATGTAGGATGGGTAAACAAACATGTAGCAACCCCAACATGCCAAAAACAAATGGTATGTTTTAATTATTCTTGGCTCAAAAAAATCTTGACTTTGTAATAAATGTATTCTTTTTGTAATATTTAATCCAATAAAGGGTATATATATATATATATATATATATATATATATATATATATATATATATATATATATATAGGTTATCTGTTTCCAATTTTAAAAAATTAACTTTCCAAGTTTTTCACAAATACAGATGTGAAAAAAAAAATAGCATCCCAAAGATTCATTTAACTGATTGAAAAAAAGAAATAAAAAAGAATTAATTAAAACAATTCAAAAAACATTTTAAATACAACATCTAAGTTTATAAAAGATCACCAATATGTAAATTAAAAGGTGGTAACAGATAACCCAGAAGTACTCCCACCCACCAAAAAAATTCTTATATTTTAATTTAAAATATGTAAATTAAAAAAATAAACAATATTTGTGTATTGTGTAGGGGATCAATTTACAATGTGTTTAGATAGCAAACTGGACCCCCTGTCCACTATCTCGTTAAAAAAGTGGTATATCCTGATGAAAAAAGGCCCCAAATTTGATAAAACAATTTTTTAACGTCTAAATGTTTATGTTACTGTTAAGAGGAAAGACTAAAGTATTTTCTGGATATTTTTTCAGATTTTTTAATCTTTCCTATCATGTTAAAATTTTATTTAAATATCTCGTTTTTTTAGTCAATGAGATTTACTAAAATCAAGACTACTAACTAACATTTATAAATTAATTAAATTAATAATGTTTTTGTTATTTATTATATTTGTGATCTGGAGTGATACGAAAAAAAAACTTTTTAAGAAATTATTAATTCAGGTCATGGTGACAATTATTGTACATCTTCATAATTTTTTAAATAAAATAAAAAAATATTTATAAAAAAATCTAAAAATTTTTTTAAATTAAACGAAAACAAGTAAATGAAAAATGCTAAAAAAAACCTTTTGCACAGAGTCACAAGGTTAAGGCCTTAGAAACTTTTATATTGCAAATGTTTACGATGGATTTTTAGTAATAAACAAGGAAATGAAATCCTGTAAAAAAGAAAGAAAGAAAGAAAGAAAACGAAAGAAAGAAAAAAGGAAGAAAGGAAGAAAGGACACAGAATAAAAGCGAGATAAAAGTGGTGGAAAATAAAGAAAGAAGTGAAAAGAAAGAAAGAAAGACAAGGACAGGCAAAAAGAAAACCGTAGAGAGAAATAGAAAGATGAAACAGAATGGGAGGTTAAAGAGAAGTGTGTCAGAGAAAGAAAGAAAGAAGGAAAGAAAGAAAGGGAAAGGTAGTGAAGGATAAAGCGAGAAGTGGGTCAGGGAGAGAGAAACAGGAGGGTGACTCGAGAAATGAGGTCAGCGCAGTGCCTACGTGCGCGCAAAGGAAGCAGCCACATCATCAGCATTGTCACCTTCATCATCATCAGCGGCAAGAAGACCACAACGTTACACGGATGCACGTAGGTTTTCCATAACAAATGCAACCCACGTCATCCAAGAAGAGACAGACAGCCAGCCAGAGAGGGAGACAGACAGACAATCAGAAAGCTGAAATGATACAAGATATTATTATTATTATTATTATTATTATTATTATTATTATTATTATTATTATTAACAACATCAACATACAGATTTACATTTGTTTTATGCCCGGCAGATTATTTATTTATTTTTTCATTTTTTCGTCCATCAGAGTAATTTTTAGTTTTTATTTCAATCTCTGCCTATTTCTCAGTTTTATTTCACTACCTGATGTTTTTTTTATTCTGTTACGTTTTAAAATTTTACATTGTCTCAGTCAGTATCGATCTATCTATCTATCTATCTATCTATCTATCTATCTATCTATCTATCTATCTATCTATCTATCTCAGTTTGTTCATTATCTATCTATCTATCTATCTATCTCAGTTTGTTCATTATCGATCTATCTATCTATCTATCTATCTATCTATCTATCTATCTATCTATTTGTTCAGTTTGTTCATTATCTATCTATCTATCTATCTATCTATCTATCTATCTATCTATCTATCTATCTATCTATCTCAGTTTGTTCATTATCTATCTATCTATCTATCTATCTATCTATCTATCTATCTATCTCAGTTTGTTCATTATCTATCTATCTATCTATCTATCTATCTATCTATCTATCTATCTATCTCAGTTTGTTCATTATCTATTTATATCAGTTTGTTCATATCATCTATCACAGTCTATCCATATCTACATATCTAGTATTAATCTATCACTGTTCATATCTATTTTACTCTGTTCATAATCTATCTATCTATCTATCTATCTATCTATCTATCTATCTATCTATCTATCTATCTATCTATCTATCTATCTACAAAGAATAATTAATTATGCTTATAATAACTATATGCATAAAGCTCTCAAAGATCAAAAGTGCATTTGTTATTAGTATAAATTTTAGTTCTCTTATTTTACATTGAGCACTTTATTATTACTACCAGCACTCACTGGGCTCTATTGCACACACACACACACACACACACACACACACACACACACACACACACACACACACACACACACACACACACACATCCAAACAAACATTACTACCGCCACTTTTTCTATTTATTAATCTTCCTAATGAGATGTTGTAGATCATCCAGATTAAAATGTTAATAAATTGACCAAATTTCATTTTTTTTTCTGTTATATCCAAGTACTATCACAGTTGTTGTCAAGAATTTGGAGTTATGAGTATGGTAAGAAAGATTTATTTGACTAAATTCTCATGATTTTGGGTTTCTTGAATGAGGCTTTAAGTCCGTTGAAAAAGTGTTTTCACAACTTTAATCCCAATGTATAAAACCACGATCATAATTAGAAAGGCATAATAAAAATTTGACAGTAGAATTTAATAAACTTGTTTGAATAAATTCTTGCTGTCTGTGTAGTAATATATATATATATATATATATATATATATTAAATAAAATAAATTAAAATTTTAAAATAAATAACAGTCAGTATAGACTCAGCACCTGAATGGAACTCCAAGTAGTGAAAATGGTGTTGGATAGGTATATATATATATATATATATATGCACTTTATAGCTCTGTTATAACATCAAGCACTGTTTCAATAACACTCTAGCACTTTATGTGTATTCGTATATATATATATATATATATATATATATATATATATATATATATATATATATATCCAAAGAACTTTTTGAGCCAGAAATTCGAGGTCATGAGTCCTTGTATACATAATTAAAACATTAAGCTCATGAGGCTGGATAAAAAAAAGTATGTACATTTCAATAAAAACAATACATTTATAATAATCTTGCTTTTCTTCTCTTCCCCCCTTCTTCTTCTTCTTCTTCTTCTTCTTCTTCTTCTTCACATCCTCCTCCTCCCTTTCTGTCACACCCAACATCATGTGTTTGTTGATTTATTTTTTAAAAATAATATAACGTTCATTAGTTTTTTTAAAATAGAGCATTGTGAAGTCAATTGGGATGTTGTATGCGGATACCTTAGGGTTGAAAACAAAGTAGTGGATTCAACTGATCTCATGATTTTTAAAGTTATATATATATATATATATATATATATATATATATATATATATATATATATATATATATATATTATTATTATTATTATTATCTGGTCCTGAGGGTCATTAACATGGCAAAACATTTGTATGAAATTCTGTTATCCATGTTTTTTCTATTAAAAATCTGAACATCTGATTTCAAAACAATATGATTAAAAAAAAAGCAAACATCGGTAGGTCTGTTAAATCATTTTTACATTTATACAAACATATGGACATGAATTCAAAAGAGTCAAAAAGAAGTAAAAAATATTTTTTAGTTGAATTAAAGTTTTTGGGTAGTTGCTACACAGAAAAATCTGAGGTTTAGAAAAGACTTTGATCATCAGCAAAGATTCACTGACCATCTGAACAGTTATTGTTGGACATGATTTGTTTGAATAATAAATAAGTACATTTTTTAGGAACACTCTGTTTATATGAACAAGATTTGTTATATTCAACTGACAAGGTCTGCCTGTTTCATTTTTTGTTTTATTTGTCTAGAGACATTTTTTTTTTTTTTGATAAAGTGTCAAAAGTTCATAACTTTGTTCAGTTCTTGTTTGAGTACTTTCTCGATCATCTCAGTCATTAATATTGGATTCTTGCATTGGATACACTGGCCCCACACTCTCCCATAGGTTAACTTGTCACTTATTGAAACAAACTATAACTATTAACACAAAAAAAATATTAATATATATTACCAAAATACTATATAAAAATTACTACAAGAGATGGCTTAGAAGTATCCAAATATTATTAATATACAAAAAAAAAAAAAAAAAAAAAAACCTCCATTAAATAAAATATCTTTCACCACAGGATATGGTATCTTGAAATGTGTATAACATTTTTAATATGCATATATAATAATAATATTTGTTACAAATATTAAGGGACTGGAACAAGAAGCAGCCTAGGAGACAGTGAAGGAGATGGAATACAGCATACCCACATGGCAGAGAAAGTAAGAAAAGAATATGACAGGCATGTGCATCTGGTGTTGAATTCACAAAACAGAATATCAACCACAAACACTTTGGCTGCCCTGGTGGTGTAATAATGTTTCAACATCCTTAACTGGAGCATAGCTGACATTAAACAAAGGGATGCCAAAACCAGAAAGCTTCTCACTTGCCACCGCAAGACTGTAATGTATCTTTGAAGATCTTCAAGAAACTATCAAAATGCAAGGATCTTGAAGTGAAAATCTCAAAAATGTGTCACATGAAGACATCAAGAATTTCAGTTGTGGTTGGGACCCTGGGTTTGATAGGAAAATGTTCCGATAGGATCATTGAAGGGATCTGGTTGTTCATGCCTTAAAGAAATACAAAAAATTATTCTCATAAGTACAACTCACACATTATAAAGGGCTTTATCTATTTAAAATGTGTATGATCTTAAGTTGACATTTGTTTTTTTTTAAATGTTCAGTAGAAAATGTCATGAAGCCATTTCTGACCTTAGATCTCTGGTTGGGACCTGAAAAGAAATGAGTATACAACAGAAATCAAAGGAAATTATCAGAATAATAATAATAATAATAATAATAATAATAATAATAATAAAAAAATATTTCATGGATTCTTTTCTGATGCTGTCAAGTGCTGCGAAAGAATTTTAAACATGACTGGACCTATACAATACAGAACTAAATTTGAAATATAGTTTGGATTCGATGTATCTTATGCGTTTTATTTTCTCTCAGTCTCCTTTTCTCAGTATGCGTACAAAACATTTCCACTGTTTATTTCTAATTGTTAGCAATATTTTTTGTAATTCTTATTCTAATTAAAACTTTTAATTTACCGTATGTTTTGTCCGAAGTATTCTAACAAATAACAGTTAACTTGTGTTGTTTAGTATCTGTCTATATTTCTGAGATGAGGTATTATATACACTATTTACATTATTCGGACTATTGTCCTCATCTTTGTTGCCATATTCATTACAACGTTTCGACCAATCAGTATCTGTCTATATTTCTGAGATGAGGTATTATGTACACTATTTACATTATTCGGACTATTGTCCTCATCTTTGTCACCATATTTATCACAACATTTCAGCCCTTCAGTATCTGTTTATATTTCTGAGATGAGGTATTATGTACACTATTTATATTATTCAGACTATTGTCCTCATCTTTTGCCATATTTATTACAACGTTTCGACCAATCAGTATCTGTCTATATTTCTGAAATGAGGTATTATGTACACTATTTACATTTATCCAGACTATTGTGCTCATCTTTTTGCCATATTTATTACAACGTTTCGACCAATCAGTATCTGTCTATATTTCTGAGATGATGTATTATGTACACTATTTACATTATTTGGACTATTGTCCTCATCTTTGTCGCCATATTTATCACAACATTTCAGCCCTTCAGTATCTGTTTATATTTCTGAGATGAGGTATTATGTACACTATTTATATTATTCAGACTATTGTCCTCATCTTTTGCCATATTTATTACAACGTTTCGACCAATCAGTATCTGTCTATATTTCTGAAATGAGGTATTATGTACACTATTTACATTTATCCAGACTATTGTGCTCATCTTTTTGCCATATTTATTACAACGTTTCGACCAATCAGTATCTGTCTATATTTCTGAGATGATGTATTATGTACACTATTTACATTATTTGGACTATTGTCCTCATCTTTGTCGCCATATTTATCACAACATTTCAGCCCTTCAGTATCTGTTTATATTTCTGAGATGAGGTATTATGTACACTATTTATATTATTCAGACTATTGTCCTCATCTTTTTGCCATATTTATTACAACGTTTCGACCAATCAGTATCTGTCTATATTTCTGAAATGAGGTATTATGTACACTATTTACATTTATCCAGACTATTGTGCTCATCTTTTTGCCATATTTATTACAACGTTTCGACCAATCAGTATCTGTCTATATTTCTGAGATGATGTATTATGTACACTATTTACATTATTTGGACTATTGTCCTCATCTTTGTCACCATATTTATCACAACATTTCAGCCCTTCAGTATCTGTTTATATTTCTGAGATGAGGTATTATGTACACTATTTATATTATTCAGACTATTGTCCTCATCTTTTTGCCATATTTATTACAACGTTTCGACCAATCAGTATCTGTCTATATTTCTGAAATGAGGTATTATGTACACTATTTACATTTATCCAGACTATTGTGCTCATCTTTTTGCCATATTTATTACAACGTTTCGACCAATCAGTATCTGTTTATATTTCTGAGATGATGTATTATGTACACTATTTACATTATTCGGACTATTGTCCTCATCTTTGTCGCCATATTTATGATAACGTTTCGTCCTTTCAGTATCTGTCTATATTTCTGAGATGAGTTATTATGTACACTATTTACATTATTCGGATTATTGTCCTCATCTTTGTTGCCATATTTATTACAACGTTTCAGCCCTTCAGTATCTGTCTATATTTCTGAGATGAGGTATTATGTACACTATTTACATTATTTGGACTATTGTCCTCATCTTTGTCACCATATTTATCACAACGTTTCGGCCTTCCTGAGTTGGTTGGAATGTGAAACTGAACCCTTATTTTGCTCACTATTCTAGTTCCACGTGCCATGTCTAATGGATATCAGTTATCTCGTGCCATGTCTAATGTATATCAGTTATCTCCTGTTAATTCCCCTTTCCAAGTTCTCCACTGTCTTAACCAGGTATTGAACTCACAAATCTTTGGGTCCTGTCACTGGATCTAACCAACGCCTTTAACCACTGTGACATTAAGGATCCATGGCACAGCTGGAGATCAGTGTTCGAATTCAACGTTAGGATTTCGAAAGCTGATTTTAAAGTAAAGCAGGCCTCCTTACTTAAATGCAACACAGTCTTCCAGGTTCACATCGTCTTTAATTTGGCCTTGTGCATAATTTATGAAGAAAAGGAACAAAAAGAAAAATTTTTTTTAAAAAGCTGTAAATATAAATAAATAAATAAATAGTAGCCTGGAGAAGGGTGGAGAGGAAAATGACACTCGGCTAAGTCTCTTTTTCTTCCCACCCACAACCCGAATCCATTTCCTTGTTTCTCCCCCCCCCCCACACACACACGAATCATACGTCAAAATTGGGCTCATAAGGAAAAAAAATTACACACGCCAAAAAACGTACAAAAAATCGTGATAATAGAGGCAGGAGGAAAATAAAAAAATAAAAATAAAAAGGAAAAGAAAATTCTCCCACCCCAGTGTATAAAACGAGCCCCCCACCCTCAGGGGCATAAAAAAAATAAAGACGAGGCGAGGAACGGAAGAAGAGAAATGGAGTAGAAGGAGAGAGACGAACGAAGAGAGAGGGAGAGAGACGAACAGAGAAGAAAGTGAGTGAGGGTGTCGGAGTGGAGACAAAATAACCCGAGTTCAGTAGTAAATGGAGACATTTGTCGACATGAAGGAAAAAGAAAAAAAAAAAAAGAAGTGGGGAGCGAAAGACAGGCTGACTAAAAGACAGACTAACAAAGAGGCAGAGACGAGGCGCTGGGGAAGGAATGTTACGTCTGACGGAGGGTGGGTGCGAAAAGAGGTTGCGGTAGCGTGTGTTTTGCTAAAACTGGTTTCAACTTGTTTCTCAAGATTCGAGAAAACGCATTGCCGTTCGTTGAAAAAAAAAAAAAATAACTGCAGGATCATTTCTATTTTTAGGAAAAAACGATGTGAAGTTTCTTGCATTCAAAAGGCACCTTTCTTGAATAATAAAAGATAGGAAATATTAAACTAAAGAATAAAGATATATATATTTTTTTTATCTCTGCTCAATCAACGTCATGTGCGTGCAGCAATTTGATCTTTAAAATCTATATTATAAAACTACACATGAAGAGTTGATACTCTGTCCGTCACACTCTGCGTTCGATTGTAGCATAAACCTACGTGTATGTCTGTCTTTTTGCGTGAATGACATATCCTTGGGCCATTTAATGTACACACAAACACAATTTTAGTTTAGGTTCGCCTATCGCCCGGTTCACACTCCTCCCCGGTCTTTTAAACAGGGGTAGAGATTTATCCATTGTTTCCTGTTTAGGATTGGGTTCCGTCTAAAAAGTCTATTTCAGCTCTATACACCTAACGCAGGTCCTTTTCTACGCTAATATAACTCCACACAATATAAAACTCTACCTTGAGTGGCCCTTAGGCCATGTATTAGGTGAATATTAGAAAAAAAAGTTTGATAGAAAACATTGGAATAAAATTAATAATACAATCCCCCTCGTTTTTTTAATAGATGAATATTTTTTAAATTGTTATAGTTTGGGGTGGATTGTATTGTATGTGCTTTGGAACGGTGTCAAACCGTTCATTGCTGTCACAGTAATGTGTGTGATAAGTTAAGTTTGAAGATCTGTAGCCAATGGTAATCACTATGTCAAAAAATAATATTTTGTAGCTGAAGAATTTCCTTCCTGATGAAGAGGCTACTCGAAGCGCTACAGTGTGCTGGCCTTGTTCAAATTGTTGATCACGCTAGATAACACACTCTTTCCCAGAAGCTGTAACTAAGGTCTGCTCAGCATAGTTACAGTATAAACCACAGGTGGGCTCTCTAGGTGTTGAACAAACACAAATGTGCTGGCCACTCGTATTCGAGGATACCCGTCTACTACGGCGGCTAGCCAATCCCTATTGCAGACGCTCGCTCAGGCACATATATATTATATATAAATATAAAAATGAACATTGAAGTCAGCACTCAGAGGCGACAGGCTGTTTTATGCTAGATGCAATCGTCAAGCCACGACGATTGCGTTTAGCATGAAACACCCTGTCGCCTCTAAGTGTTGACTTCAATGTTCACTTTTATATTTACACACGCTCTCTATCTCTGATATTGAGCACTTTATCCCATATTTCTTCATATATATTCTTATATATATATATATATATATATATATATATATATGGGCAGCAAACTTTCTTTTAAACATCTTTAGTTAAATATAACAGACAGGAATGTTTGATTAATTGTTTATTTAGTTTTTCCAACGTTCTTACATTTTTCCGTTTGGTTGGAGTGAATATCAAAACTGTCCCTATCGTTGATAATGTTAGTAACATTATCAGTAACATTATCATTATATATATATATATATATATATATATATAATGATAATATTAAGGTATCAGAATTCACGGAGATGTCAGTAAATGTTTTATTTTATAGTGTAAGCCCAGGTACACCTCATGCATCGACAGCTACTAAATTCTTCTGTCTTTGCAGCCTACTATAGCGGTTATGTTGAAGTCATACATGTATGGTGACTTAGAACAAGCTATTTTAAAAGTGTATCAGATGACAAAACCTGAAATGCAGGACAAATTAATGAAAGCTGCAGCCATTAATCGATGTCCAACTGTAAGAGATTTCAGACCATATTGCTGCTAGCGAAGAAAGGTTTGTAAAAATGTTGGACGCAATAATTTTCCATTTGATCAACGAAGGAATTTTGACGGGAACTATAATGAAACGTATACATACAATCAAAAAGAGACTGCATGAATTTCAAAGGACACATAATGAGGAAAGAAGGTCTGGAGAATTTAACACTCACAGGACATATCGGTAACAAGACAAGCAAAAGGGAAACAGTAATCTCTTTAAGGAGTTTATGTCTATTGATTGTGGAATAGGAATTAGGAGGGATGGTAAACTCTAAAAAAATTCCAAGAATAACAAAAGACAGAAAATTGCTATGATCCCCTACGACAAACAGAAGAAACGTTTATGGAGACCAAATAATGGATGTGAGCACAAAGGATGGATAACGTGTTTTTACAGCAATGTCTGTGATAAGTTAAGTTTGAAGATCTGTAGCCAATGGTAATCACTATGTCAAAAAATAATATTTTGTAGCTGAAGAATTTCCTTTCTGATGAAGAGGCTACTCGAAGCGCTACAGATGTGTCCCCAATGATGAATATTAAAAATACTATGGACAGAACATATGTACAATGAAGAAGCTTTAAGGAAAATACAACTTATACTTACAATCAAAAGGAGACAGCAGAAATTTCTAGGACAATGAGGAAAGAAGGCTAGGAAATTCTAACACTCACAGGACATACTGATACCAGTGGAAATAACAACTAACTTATCAATTTTGTATGAATGGATGGCAGAAGTGGGACAAAGAGAGCTAGTAGGATAAAGGGTAAAAAAATTACTTCCAGAGACAAACAAAGGATGATGTGGAGAGCCATGATCTCCTGCGCCCTGAAGTAATATGACACATAGAAGAACTTTTGAGAAAATCTATAACTAATCAATTTATTAGTAATGTATATATATGGTAGAGGTCAACTTGTAATTGATTCTTAAGGCCAGCTTCATTTTTACAACCTCTCTTACATACGTGGCAAGGTTAAAGTTTGTTTGTGTTGCTTATGTTGGAAACTTGCCCGTCCCTGTGGACAATCACGTGACGTCTGAGTCCCGCGCAAACCTTGTCATAAAACTCGCTCACAAGTAACCTGCAGGTCTTTCTGGTAGGGTTGCGTGCAATGGAGTTCGCAGCTGACCTCTCTGGTGAGATCTCACATGACTGGGTAAACCAGTCGCCGAAAGGGTGACTTTTCCCACAACTACTACAAGCGCGTTGATGTCCCAATAGCCCCGGGACAGATTCTATTTCTTCCTTCCTAATGGCGCGCTTTTTGTTGGAATTCTCTTCTGCTTAAAATTGTTACAGCGTTCCCAACCTTCTCCAACCGGATCTATCTCCGTCAACAGTTTCCCAGTCTTCAACATTAACGCTAATCATCATTGATTACCTTGTAGCAGCTGACCACGAAAAGGTCTTTTTGGACAATCTGTCATCTTTCATACGTGACAAAGTAGTGTCTCTATGCTGGCTATGTTTGCGTACTGAAAGACCTTTGTGTTTGTGTACAAGACTGTCAATTGATGTACAAGATTCGTCTGAGGTACTGCTGGTGAAAACACTCTAAGACCTTAATGTGCCTTTGAAAGGTGGTCCACGCTTCGGAGGAATATAACAGGGTATTTAGGACAACTCCTTCCTAGATTCCGATCTTTGTGCTTTAGATGTTGCTATCAGGCCATACTCCCTTTTCCAGTTTTCTGAATACTTGACTTGCTTGTTCAATGCGGTAATTCACTTCCGCATCCGGTGAGCAATCCTTAGAGAGTTCACTTCCTAACTATACAAAAGTGTCAACTACCTCCAGTCTGGATTCGTTAGCGAAAATGTTGGGCTCTATGTAAGGCGGCCCAGGTAGAGGCATGTACATGACTTACCTTTTCAGACTGATGATTATCCCATAAGCAGTACAAGTCCCCGAGAAATGGTCCATTATCACCTGCATGTCACTTATTACTTACATATATACTTTCACACATTATGAAATGGACAAAGTCCGACAATTATTTTAAAACATTTTATTTTATGTTTATACGTTCTTTTTATAGATAGAAATATTTAAGTAAAAGCTCTGTTTATAATAAACAGTATTAACAACATTTACCGTCCTGAATGTCCGAGAAATTTTCATAGAAAATATGTGTCCTCCGACAGGAATCGAACCTGTATCCTATACAGAACCGTCATATAGCCTACATATATAGGATACAGGTTCGATTCCTTAATGTCTTAAAATATATATTTTCATATACACACATGCAGATGGTGGACTCTCCCGGTGTATTCGACGTATGAGGACCAAGCAGCTCAGTTCCGAGGAAACGACACCCAGACACCAGCACATATGATTTCATTATAGTGGTGAAGGCTTTGTGCAGAGCCAACCACAATTTTTGGCCGAATACAGAGACCTGGTTCACTACGTGCCACAAGATCCTCAAATCACCCTCCGCAGGATTTGAATTATCCTTCTCCTAGACCAGTTTCCTTTCAAGGCTATAGAACCCGGCCTGTCCTGCTATTTACCCATATATGGCGAGAGAAGAAGAGGATTAATACCTTTCCCAAGCTCGTAAGTGAATGTAATGGATTCGACTGGAATTCGAACTCGACTCTCCGATTCCTCAATCCGAGCCACTATCCACTACTCCACTTTAATACTTATATTATTTAAAACAGTTTTACAGTAGACCGTTTTAAAATAGACGCCCCATTTTTATTTATTGAACAATGTCTATTACGTCTATTGGCCTGTACATTCATAAAATTTTAATAAAGAAAACGTGTTCTCTGGCAGGGATCGAACCTACGCCTCCCTTTGTAGAGGAAACCACCGTTTGATCCGGTGTGCTTTAACAAAAAACGTCACAGTTAAGCAAGGCCTTATTTTCCTTTTTATGGAAAGCACATCTTTTTCACCTAGATTATATCATCTCTGACTTCTACCCACGTAGAAAATGCGATATTTAAAAAAAAGGCACTAAACCCAAAATATATGTCCCCTATGTAGACGATATTTTCATTTTGGCGAAAAACAAACAAGAAATTGATAATCTCAAAACCACATTCGAAAAAAAAACAAACTCTCTCCTTAACTTTACCTATGAATTTATTCAACAAAAATAAACTCCCATTCTTAAAAGTTCTTGTACAATTCAGTAATAACACATTCACCATTTCATTATACAAAAATCCCACTAGCAGAAACTCTTGCCACCTTAATTTTAAGAGTGAATACCCACTTATAAAATAGTAATTATAAAAAATTTCCTTAAGAGAGCACATGAGAATTCATCCTCTCGTCCCCTTTTTCTTAAAGAACTAAATAATATAAAACAGACGTTAGTTAACAATAGTTTTCCTAATTACCTCATCGACCACGAGTTTAGACTATTTCTTTAAATAATAGCGATACTGAATATATAGATAAAAATTCAAATTTTCTGCAAAAGCCAAATACTTGCCAGCTATAAGGAAGACGAATTTTCTCTTAGAAATATCATAAATACGCAACCCCAGTCGACCTGAACAAGAAAATTAAATTATCTATTACAAAAAATTTAAAACAGCTCACCTTAACCTCAAAAATAATAACAAACCTGCAAAATCAAAACTATAAAGACCCAACAATATTTACGAGTCCAAATGCCCCTTTAGGAATTGTATTCCTGATCAAACCAAACTCATAAATAATTACATCGGTCACACTACTACATGCCTATCCAGACGACTTATGTTACACCTATCCTGTTACAGCTTCATTAGAGTTCATTTAAACACGCACAGAAACCTACCAGACTCCATCCGAAATATACTAGTAGAAAATACAAGCATAATAACTTCATCCACATGTAAAAAAAGGTTAAGAATAATGGAAGCCTTAATAATAAAAAAAAAGCCAACACTTAATAATATTAACTATGAACATGGCCACAATGTGCTGACTGTGTTTGGAAAATAAAACATTCCTATAACTCTACACACAACCCATAGATTCAGTTAAAAAAGTAAAAATAAAATCATCCTTGTTAATGGCTAATAGTATAGCTGAAAGCGCTAAGAAATGCAGAACGTTTGTACAGCTTTTAATTTTGAAACACTTTGTGTCCAGAAAAGAAAACACTTGTTCGAACAGAAGAAAAAATTAAATAAAAAAAGCCTTATCGCATATCGCAGGATCTTGTCAGTCGTCTTTAACAAAACATGTATAAAAGAGGGACTGCTGCCTAAATACACAATCAATTTAGACAATTCACCATAGCTGTTACCATGGGGATTTTGATTTCAATTTTAAAACAAGTAAATTTCAGATATACGTTATTCCAACAAAAATTTCGCTTGAAGATGGAACGGAGCCCATTTTACTTTCAACTCAATTTAATTTAAAGGATTATATTGAAGTTTTCGGCTCTTGTTTTGAAACATGAGACCTCTTATGTAGCGATTTGGAATCATATTTTTAAATAAATAATTATATATATAAATATATATATATATATATATATATATATATATGGATACAAGTTATTTGAGTAAATGCTCTGCTTTAATTAAACAATATTTACCGAAGAACGTATATTTTCTACCGAATTTCTTGAACATTCAGACCGGTGAATGTATGTAATTAATACTGTCTAATTAAGACAGAGTATTTACTCAAAAGTTGTATCCATTAAAAATGACATATAAACAGAATATATACATATATGTTTGTGTATATATATATATATATATATATATATATATATATGAAATAAATCCTAATGAGCCAGAAACAACCTACCTAGGTTTCATCTAAACGGATCTTCAAGGTAAGCTGGCTAAAGAGGAAATGACAGGAAACTGTTTCTAGTTCTTTCTTTTTTTTCCTCGGGTACTAAATTGTTTTGATAGACTTACTAGTTGTGCTATCTCGAGGTTTTTTCCAACTGAGTACTACTACTACTACTACTACTAGTATATATATATATATATATATATATATATATATATATATATATATATATATATATAATTCTGTAAATTGAATTAAATTTACAACGTTTCAACGTTTCTGCTGACGAAGTGTTGGTTGGTTGAAAACTAAAAGGAACCTTTAAGAAGAATGCTTTCCTGTGTTTTCAAATCTCTCTCTCTCTTTCTTTCTCTCTCTCTCTTTTCTCTCTCTCTTTTCTCTCTCTCACTATAGGTGTTGAGGCCTCACACTTATACACACACCCACACGAATATACACACTTACACACATCATACTCACTCACTCCCTAATGAGCCAAATGATAACACACACTTAACAGAGACACATCCCGTTTCCAGAAACCAATAAAACTATTCAAAATGACCAAGTGAATTCAGAGCAGCATGAGTCCATCCAGCTCTTATCTTAAATAACAACTTAAAAGAGACCGTTTGACCAACACAAAGACTGACCAAAATTCATGTTAAAAACATAAAAAAACAAATGAAAACTAGACAAAAGTTCATTTTCTCCATCAAGAGATTCATTTCTGTAGTTCACTGCTACTAACAAGCAGAAATTTTTTTCCTGATGATAACCATGCTGGCCGAAACTAGTCGAAGAATCTAATTGAAATAATAAAAAAACGAAAAAATATTAATATACAACCCAGTGTATCTGAAGATTTTAATTTTTTAATATTTTTTATTGTTCAAAACATGTATTGAAGCATGTGTTGTTAAAGAGTAAATAAAAAAAGACTACTGAACTTTTCCGTTTAATCTTCATTTTTTCTGGTTTTTTTTTCTTGCTTTCTCGCAAGTTTTATATATATATATATATATATATATATTTGGGTGTAAGTTGTTGAAAAAAGAAAGTAGGCCTTTTGGTGTTTTGTCGAGCATTTTCTGTTGTTGTCAACAATCATTATGGCTGTATGTTTTTGTTTGAAGTAGGTTACTTTTTATTTTATTTTTATTTAGATAATATTTTTTTGGGTATTTAGGAAGTGTTGTTGGGTTATTAGTTTTTTAGCAAGTGGGAGGGGGTTGGTATTTATTATTTGGAGGATTAGTTATTAAATATATTTATGTTTCTGCGTGCGTACTGGCAGGGAACATCTCAAAATTTAAGAATTAAGATATTTATTAAGACTTAAATAAATTGTGTATATACAGCGCGTTAATATATATAAAAATTGCATATATATATATGTGTGTGTGTGTGTGTGTGTTTAAATTAATGTATTTTAAGTGCATTTGAGCAACAAGTCTACTTTTTGTTAAACTGTAATGAAAAACAACAAAATATGTCAAACTGCCTGTCAGAAGAGAAGAAAAGTTAATATGTCACGTTGTCCTTCAATGTGTGTGTGTACGTACGTGTGTGCATGTACGTGCGTGTGTATGTACGTGCGTGCTTGTATATGTACGTGTGTGTGTATGTACATGCTTGTATATGTACGTGCGTGTGTGTATGTACGTGCGTGTGTGTATGTACGTGTGTGTGTACGTGCGTGCGTGTGTATGCTTGATTCAAGTTGGATAAATTCTTTTTTTTCCTGATGATGCCTGCTCATAGGCGAAACATGTTAAATTGAAGTTTGAAAAAAAAACTTTAATTTCACATGTTCTGCCTCTGAAAAACACGAAAACATATGTTATTTTATTAAGGTACCTCATTTTTCAAAAGGTTCGTTAAAAAAATGAGCCTACATAATTTTAAAAAATGCCCCAAACTTAATAAAAACAAAATTTTAACGTCAAAATAATGACGTATAATATTTCCTCTTAAGAGGAAAGACCAAAGAATTTATTTATTAAATTATATTTTTAAATAAATCCTTTCTTTTTACAACCCTCGAAATTTGGGTTAAAAATGTTTTTCTTACGTCAACGGGTAAAACCTGAAATTAATATGGGAAATTTTAGCGTCTTTTTGCGGTGAAGAAAAACACATTGATTTTAAAATTCTTGCAAAAATCAGATAATTCTCGAATTTTATTGAAACTTTTAGCACTTCTTCACAAATTAAATTATTTTAGAAATTGTGTCTTTTTTTTTTAGAAAATCTTCGTAAAAAAAAATATTATTTTTTTTTACATTTGTTATCCTCCACCCACTTTATGAATGTTCGAGAAATTCAATTTTGAAGATCTTATTCTTAATGTTTAATGCTTGTGCATATGTGTGTGTCTCTAGTCTACTCGTATAAATCTCGAAAGCCCATATCTGGTCATCCGAAACGTAAACAAAGTAATTTCTAAGGAATCGATGGATTTTTAAAATTTTTGTTTGACATTATTTCCGCCTAGTCCAAAGCAAAAGTTATTTTGTGGATACCCATGTTTGAGTAGACGCCTTGTTTTTTTCTATTCGCTTTGCCTTTGTCTTTTTAGTATCAACTCTTCTAGTCTGTCTGTCTGTCTATCTATCTATCTATCTATCTATCTATCTATCTATCTATCTATCTATCGCAGTATATTATCTGTCTGTCTTTCTGTCTGTCTATCTATCTATGTCAATCTTTTCTTATCTATCTATGTCAATCTTTTCTTATCTATCTATCTATCTATCTATCTATCTATCTATCTATGTCAGTCTTTTCTTACCTATCTATCTATCTATCTCTCTATCTATCTCAGTCTCTTCTTATCTATCTATCTATCTATCTATCTCAGTCTCTTCTTATCTATCTATCTATGTCAGTCTCTTATCTATCTATCTATCTATCTATCTATGTCAGTCTCTTATCTATCTATCTATCTATCTATGTCAGTCTCTTATCTATCTATGTCAGTCTCTTATCTATCTATCTATCTATCTATCTATCTATCTATCTATCTATCTATCTATCTATCTATGTCAGTCTCTTATCTATCTATGTCAGTCCCTTATCTATCTATCTATCGCAGTATATTATCTGTCTGTCTTTCTGTCTGTCTATCTATCTATGTCAATCTTTTCTTATCTATCTATGTCAATCTTTTCTTATCAATCTATCTATCTATCTATCTATCTATCTATCTATGTCAGTCTTTTCTTACCTATCTATCTATCTATCTATCTCAGTCTCTTCTTATCTATCTATCTATCTATCTATCTATCTATCTATCTATCTATCTATCTATCTCAGTCTCTTCTTATCTATCTATCTATGTCAGTCTCTTATCTATCTATCTATCTATCTATCTATCTATGTCAGTCTCTTATCTATCTATCTATCTATCTATGTCAGTCTCTTATCTATCTATGTCAGTCTCTTATCTATCTATCTATCTATCTATCTATCTATCTATCTATCTATCTATGTCAGTCTCTTATCTATCTATGTCAGTCCCTTATCTATCTATCTATCGCAGTATATTATCTGTCTGTCTTTCTGTCTGTCTATCTATCTATGTCAATCTTTTCTTATCTATCTATCTATCTATGTCAGTCTTTTCTTACCTATCTATCTATCTATCTATCTATCTATCTATCTATCTCAGTCTCTTCTTATCTATCTATCTATCTATCTATCTATCTATCTATCTATCTATCTCAGTCTCTTCTTATCTATCTATCAATGTCAGTCTCTTATCTATCTATCTATCTATCTATCTATCTATCTATCTATCTATCTATCTATCTATCTATGTCGGTCTCTTATCTATCTATCTATCTATCTATCTATCTATCTATCTATCTATCTATCTATCTATCTATCTATCACCTGTTCTCTAAGAGTCACGTTTTAAATCTCGCATGTTCGATGCTCCATCATCTCTCTTGCATATGTCACTGCACGTGAAGTGAGAAATATCGAAATATCAAAATGTCGGTTGGCAGAGCACCGCAAACCTCGCTCGCAGACCGGTGAGACCAGGGGTTGTTGTTTTTCCAGGAATTGCCACAGCCTCCGTTGGTTGTTTTCGTTTGCATTTGGGAGTCGAAAATCAGGTCTGGGTCGTCGGCTGAGACATTTTCTGGGTATTTAGAGGGTGAGGGAGACATTTTTTTTCGAATTTAAGTGCGTTCTTCTCTTGCTTGAGCTATCTCGTTTCATTTTATTTTTATTCATTAATCATTCATATCTATCTATATATTATCTATCTATTTCACTTTCAGTCTGTTGTTATCTATCTATCTATCTATCTATCTATCTATCTATCTATCTATCTCACTCTGTTCATTATCTATCTACAGTGTAACCCGGATATAAGAGAGTTGTCGGGGCCGGAGACGAAGTCTCTTATATCCGGGTTTCTCTTATACCCGGGTCTCTTATATCCGGGTTACACTGTATCTATCTATCTCACTCTTTTCATTATCTATCTATCTATCTATTTATCTACCTCACTCTGTTCATTAATTTAATGATCGATCAATCTATCTCACACTGTTCATTATCTATCTATACCTCACTCTCTTCATGTATCTATCTATACCTCACTCTCTTCATGTATCTATCTATCTATCTATCTATCTATCTATCTATCTATCTATTTCACTCTATTCATCATCTCTTTCTTTCTTTCTTTCTTTCTTTCTTTCTTTCTCCTCCTCTTCCTCACTCCATGTCATTTGTGGCGCTGGCACTCTTACTATGGAAAAAACCCATGAGTCTATTTGATAACGATCTTTTTTAAGTAGCAGTAATACTGGGTCAAATTTCTGCTGCCTGCCAACGCACGGCCTTTGGCTGGGTATCCAGGGTGGGTGCAGATGTTGTTTATTTATGTTAAGCTGAAAAAAAAAAATGGGTCAGCTAAACTTTTACACACACAATTATTCCATTGGAAATATATTTGCGTGTATACAAAGCGGATTCCACCTTATCCGCGGCTCTGTTGTACACTGTTTCATTTACTCGCGGTCAAACCTAGAAACGAATAATTCAGAAATTTTAGTAAAAATAATTATTGTCTCAAAATCCAAGAAAAATGGTGCTGGCAATCCAGATATTCCAAAGAGAAACAGTGTGTACTGTAAATTATTTACAGTAAATAAAATGTTCTGTAAAAATAATAATAATAATAAAAAAAAAAAACAATCGTATCCTGAGATTACTAAGAAGATCTGTAATAAAAATAAAATTATTATCAGTCATTACTTACTGTATTTTCTTTTTATTGAATATTTGCATTAATTTCTTATTTTATTTTCTTTAAACATTATGACAATATATTGGGATCTTTTCTGTTACTGTTGTTTAACTCACCCCAAAATAAAAAAGAATTTATATTTAATTCAAACCAAATTATCCCAGGGCGAGACCATTCCATTGAACACCAGTTGGGTTTACGATCGCCCCCCCAAATGTGGGTGACTTTGGTGCGTTAAACAAATTTTGATTTAAAATAAAATTTATAATTTCAAAAGAGTGCCAAAAATAAAAAAAAAAACAAAAAACAAAACAAAAACAAACAAACTTTGACTTAAAATTTATAATTTCAAAATCCGGTAATAATAATAATAGTAATAATAATTTATTATTATTATTAAGAAATGGATTTAAATCTGACAATTAATTTAATATATTTTCTGTTCAGTTAATAATACGCTAAGATACAATTTAAGTAAATGTTCTGTTTTTTAATTAAACAATAATTCCATAAGCTGGCCTGAATGTTCGAGAAATTTTGTAGAAAATATGTGCTTCTCCGACAGGAATCGAACCTAAACCGAATATTTTCTATATATTCACGCAAATACTATGAAATCGTCTTTTCCCTTCCTTCCTAAGTTATGGGTCAAATGGTAGAGTAAACTAGGCTCTCTAGCCTCAGGTGGAAACCCGTTTTAAGAGAAGGAAAACTCTGTATTCCAAACCATGGAGAAGTCAACGGGATCTACTTCATTATCTTTCCCAAGAAATTATCCCTATCACAACAGTAAAACGAAGTGCAGTAAATATCTTAAATAAATATAATTTAATAAATAAATGTAAACAAAAAAAAAAAAATCAAAAACCCTGTACCAAAGCAAAGAACAACTCTACGCTCACTCAATATAAACCCAGGAAAATAAGGCTCCAAGGTCTGTTTTCTCTACACTTTTTCTTGAAAACAGGACTCCTCTAAACACCAAATACCATGAATCCATTTTTCCCTTCCTCCCTATGGGTTCAATAACAGGTAAGACTGGGCTCTCTAGCCTCAGATGGAAACTGTTTTAAGGAGAAAACTTTGAATACCAAACCGTGGAGAAGGCAATGCAAAACCACTATCTTCCTAATGAAGGCATAGCAATTTACAAATAATGAAAGAAAGGCAACTGAGGAGAGCCATGATTGTCTATGTACTGAAAGAACACGGCATTAACCTTATACACAATAACAGCACTTATTTCAATTAAGCACATTACTTAGAATGATTACCTCACTACTTAGAACAATTACTTTGTAGGAGTAAACGCAGTTTAATTTTTTTTTAAATAATTAAATCCCCTGAAAAGTATTGCCTACTTATCATCTTAACACTTCATTTACATTACCGCCTGCATTCTTAAGACCAGGACAATCAGATGTCTTCATTTCCGAAACCAGATACTTGGATAAGTGAAACAAAAGACCAGAAACCCTGTACCAAAGCAAGGACAAATCCTACTTGCACTCATCAAACTATCTGGCCAATTAACGACCTCAATATAAAGCCAGGAAAATAGGGCTTCAAATTCAGTTCTCTATACCATGTCACCAGGACAATCAGCTAACTTCGTTTCTGAAAGCAAATACTTGGATAAATTGGGATCAAATACAGATCAAATATGGATCAGAATCCGATAGAATGATAGAATAAAGAACAAATAGGAAAGGTTTATCAGTTTATCATGTTTCACATTCATTGAAGCTACATCAGAGAATGAGATATAGAGGGGGAAAAAATTCCATTATTTTTATTTTTGTGTTGTTTGTTTTTCATTGTTTACATAGACTTCACATGCATTTGACTTGTTAAGCAGTGTTACTATAATTTATAAGCTTTTGAATAGGAGAGACGATGAGTCCTTTTGAAACTCAAAAAATTAACGAATTCAAAGCTTAACTGAAAAATGTGTATGTGTGTGCTTAATAGCTAATATTTTTGTTTGGTGGTTGTCCGCATGTTGATATGGGGAAGTTTTTATGTAAACACCAGTTGTGGTAGGTAAACATATGTTAAATCCATTAAAAATGGATTTAATAAAGGTTGGTGATGTAACATCATGTTTTGGGGGATGTGTTTATAGTTGGTAAAATATTTATACTTGGATAAATGAAACGAAAGTTAAAAGATCCTGTACCAAAGCGAACAACAGTCCTACGATATTCACCACGCTCCCCGAACACTAACCAACCTCAATATAAACCCAGGAAAAGAGGTCTCCGATATCTGTTCTCTCTATACTTTTGTCACCTGCTACAAAGAAGGAGGAGGTATCTCTCTATCTGACTATCGCTCTGTTTCAAACTTAGCGTGAGCTATGAACTCTGTTGCACAAGAAGAATGCAATTTGCATTCATAAAAAAGACCCCCCCTGAAACAACATTCACCCAGTGTTCATGTATTTTGAATGTAAAACCAACATACTGTGCCAGCCTACACAGCTTTAAATGTAAAATGTCTTAGCTGGCAATAATTTTTTTAAGTAAGTTTACCCCAAGCCAGTTAGTAAAGCCACTAAGACACAGGGAGGAAGAATTAGAAAACAGAAATATTAATAAGGAGAGAGAACAAAGGAAGAATAATTAGGAGGACGACATAATAACCTCATCCATATGTAAAAGAAAGATTTGTTCATTTTCATTATATATTATATTATTTATTATTAAGCAAGTTTACCCCCAAGTAAAACCACAACAAGGGGTTTAACTGGGTGTGGAAGAATTAGAAAACAGAAACTTTAGTAAGGAGAAGGAACAAAGGAAGAGTAATCAGGACAGCAGATAGCGATTGACATTGCATTTAAATTTTTGAAGATTAAATTTGGCTGGAAAGCAAGAAAACAGAAGAGAGTTACACAAGTGAGAAGTGTGAGAAAATAAGTTGTTCACATAGAAATTATGGTTACAGCTTGCCAACTCAACTGTAAAATGAAGAGACCTTGTTATATTTAACAGCCACCCCCACAAGGGATGTATGTGGCACAAGGCCGAGTTTACCATGGGTTCTCCGAGCCTGTAGACTCGGCCAAAAATATTCCCTTAGAACCCGTATAAACGGGTTCAGGGCCTGTCTACCTTCCCGGACGAAACTTTGCCCTTCGGCAAAGCCTCATCCGGGTTCCACTCTGCTCAAGGTAGAGAATTCAACAATTACGAACAATCTGGTCGACTGTCAGACCTTGTGATATTTAGCTAGCCCCCACCCCGAGGGTTACATATGGCACAAGGCCGGGTTTAACGTGGGATTTCCGAGCCCGTAGCTCGGCCAAAAATATTCCCTCTTTGAACTCGCATAAACGGGTTCAGGGGCAGTCAACCATCCCGAACGAGACTTTGCCCTTCGGCGGAGCCTCATCCGGGTTCCTATCCACTCGAAAGCAGAGAGTTCTGCCTTGTTGCTAATCTAGTACTGTGCTTACACTTATAAAGTTTAGGTGTCATAGCAAAGAGCACCGCCAATAAATTATCATAATGAAAGTGAAAGAAGGCTATAAAAAAAGCACTGTTGTTTATTTATGGCTAATTTGTTTAAATAATACACTGACTATTGTTTGCATCACGCGGCAATAATTCTAAGTAAAATAATGCACTAAAATAAGTAACCAAGTAATCGTTTTAATTTGTCTGAATATTGTTGCCATAAAAAATGTCTTAAAATATATTCCACTAATGGAACGATGGGCTAAAAAAAGGTTAAAAAAAAAAGATGGAGGTAAGAACTAAGCCCCCAACTTCCTCATCTTTATTTTCCCCACTCCCACCAAATCTTTACGCCATTGCTTCCAGCCTCAACCAGAAGATACATTTCCCCGCTTCCATATACTTACCTGGCACATGTTAGAGGGTATCCCCCAGACGAGGTTGTGCCAAAGGGCAGAGTCTCATCTCGGGAAACTGACTCCGTTTGTTACGTGGTCTATAGGGAATTTTTGTCGAGCATACGAGCTCGGATACCCCACTTTAAAACTCGGCCTTGTGCCAGATCTTGCTGCGTGGGCAGCGGGTAAATAATTACTTACCTGGCACTTTCGCTTGGGAAGTTTCA